TCTCTCTGATGTCCAATGGCAGGACAAGGGGTAATGGGTGCAAACTGGAACATAGGAGTTTCCATGTGAACATGAGGAAAAACTTTTTTACTGTGAGGGTTACAGAACACTGGACCAGGCTGCCCAGAGAGGTTGTGGAGTCTCCTTCTCTGGAGACATTCAGGGCCATCCTGGACGCGTTCCTGTGTGACCTAGTCTAGGTGATTCTGCTCTGGCAGGGGGGTTGGACTAGATGATCTTTTGAGGTCCCTTCCAACTCCTGAGATTCTGTGATTCTGTGATTACGTATGGGGCAAGAACATCTGGTAGAGGGGGAGAGGAAAAGCTGCAGTGCTGTAGCAGCAATAGCTTAGATCAGTGTAAGTTGTCATGGAGCTACAAGTACAAGTAATGTCTGTAAATCTTATGGGTCAAATAAAGATATTAAATGCAAACTTCAGTCAATCTTGCAATGAAAGTAAGAGCTATTTTCACTTGAGTTCACAAAACCCAACTAATCTGTTTTTTATAAGACTGAAAGGCAACAGTGTTGTTTTGTTCATCTCGTCTGCTAGCACCATGTTTTTAAAAAGAAAAATGTTTCAGTGAAGCAGACTTTATTATTAAATCCATTTTAAAAAATAATTTTTCCTTTCCATTGACTAGGACTCAATTACAGGAGAAACTGTGGAGCTTTTAGAGCCTTACCTGGATATGGAGGATTATAATCTTGAGACTGCTAAAAAAGTGTGTGGAAATGTAGCAGGTCTTTGCTCATGGACACAAGCAATGGCTTACTTCTATGGTATTAATAAAGAAGTTCTTCCTCTTAAGGTATTTCATGTTACTCATTTTATTTCTCTGAGGGATGACTGTAGTTGAGTGGAAAAAATACTACATTTTTTTGCTGAAAAAGATAATGAGTTCTTTCTTCACAACCAGTTTTGAAGTCAAGCACGCAGAGGTTAAATGTGTCCTGGTAATTTCTTCACCTTACCCAGACACCCTGTGGTACAGTTGTTACTTGTGTGAACACAGTCAGTTTTCAATGGGAGCCTTCGTACACAGGTTCTTTATAGAGCCTGGCTATCTGCAAGTGAGAGCTGCTGATACTGTCTCTGCTCTTGTACTTGGTGCAAGGCACTATGGTTTCAAGAAAGCTTCTCCTCAGTCTTACTGGCCTGGGAAGAAGTACCTATTGAATTCCTATAGTACCTTGGTAGATCTGGGAGAGGAGAAAACCGACCTTGACACAGAAGTATTCCTTAAAGAATTTAGCTGGAATTCAGCTCTCTAAGAAAACTTTGGAGGTAGAAGCTGCTGCATGTGAGAGTATATATAATAAAGAAAGTAAAGAATACTGAACTACAGTAAAAGGGATCAGTTACCATTGTCTGCATTCCTACAGGCAGCTTTATTGTCTTGGAAATGTTTAATTTATGAGATATTTATGACTTTGGATATTTATGTAGTGATTTGTAATAATTGCTTCTACAGGAGATTTTATGTCTCTTTTCTGAAGAAATGCATTCCATCAGTTATGCTTCCACTGTACTTATGTTCAGTCTCCTATTGTATAAGACATTGTATCGATGGTATATTCAAAACTCTTGGCATATTCTTTTAGTATATCTAGACAGATCAGATTCAGATTCATTAAAAGCATTATATTTTTGATTCAAGTAACTGATTGAAAAGACTATATTTCTGTGATATATAGGTAGCAATTCCCTTTTCAAATAATGGGAATTTCACTAATGAAAACAGAATTTGAAATGTAGCTATTGAGAGCTATAAAAGAAAGCAAGACCTAGAGGAAATAGTGACTTTATATGCAGATTCAACTCTGCAAGCTGCAGAAGTGCTCTTGCAGTTTTTATTTGAATATATTTGACTTAAGATTACATATAAATTTATCTTTGTATTCAAGTATTTAAATTCTTGTCACAGTGTAGCTCATAAAAAACTGAGCCTGTGTTTCTTGGCAAAGTAGTGCCTATGGTAAGGTAAAGCAACAGTCATAAATATTTTAAAACTGAAGATGACAGAGGGAGGAAGTGCTTAAAGTATGCAGGAGATATTGCAGGAAGCACTGAAGTGATGCTAAGAAAATAATTGAAAATAAATGTACAATTAAACTGCATAAAGTACTAGCACAGGCTAAATCATCCAGTGCTAAAAGCAGTTTTACTGAATGAATTAATCAAGCTGCTTTATCCTAACTGCTGTTCTAGGAGATAAACCCCCTTCAACACCTGAAAAATCCATCTAATATATTTTAAAACTGCATCTTAACTGAGACTCAGTGCCTCATTTAGCTTAAATGTGACAACTTGTAAAAACTAATTAATAGTGACTTGTATTTTAGTAAATATAGTGTGCAAATATTAACTCATTCCTAGAAAGGGATACCTACATTCTTTAGATATGTGGCCTGCAGCCTAAGGAACATTAGTTCGAATCAAACACAGAAAGTGTAACCAGATGTTGCCTGCAAATACAATGCTGTGTAGTTGCTTATCTTACGGTGGTCACCATATGTGTGCTACTTTCCTTTAAAACTTCAGCTTGACCGTGAGCCCCTCCTCTCTATCTTGTTACCGACTAAACAAGCCTGCTGGATTCACCTGGTAATTCTGAAACACCCTCTGCAATTTATCCATTCGTTGAAGACTGTAGAAGCAGAATGAAGAAGTCCTGACTTTTGCTGTTACTCTTCAATTAAAATACTCTGTATAAGGGTGTAATTTCCCTTAGAGATGTGACTGGTGATTTTAATGAAGTTCTCCTTAGGCTGTTATGATGATCAAGTGAAGTTTGTCTATAGTTTATAAATTCTGTGTGATATTGAGGATTCTCCCTGTCAAATTCAGTTTTAAATATGAGACTTTATTGCCTTTTCTCCTTTCGCTTGTCTTCATGCTGAACTAAAAACCACAGCAAGCAATAAGAGGAAATTTGCACCTAACAAAGAGGTAATAGCCAAGGAGTGTCAAAATTTGATGGTCATCCATTTAAATAAGTGTGTCCTTGTCAAGGTGATGCCTACAGAGCAGGAAAACTAGCATTCAAGTCTGAATTCAAGGCCCACAATAACTGTAGAAGGAAAGCACATACTCTGGAGGGTGAACGGGAGCATTATATTACCTAATGAAACAGATTGAAGTCAGAACATGTAACTGAATGGAAAATATGGATTATTTTCCATATAATAGTATGTAGCTAGTAGAGGCCATGAAAAGCAGATAAGAGGCATGATCTCTGTGCCTTTCAAAGATTGTTTTAATCCCAAAGAATTGTCAGCAACAGCAAAGAAATTGAAGCCAAATTTTTATTAAAGTCACTCTGCATGTATCTTTTTGGATGTATACATATGTATATGTGTATATTTTGTTTAGATTAGTGAAGTAAAAACATTGTTTATGTTGAGGCTCTGAAAAAGTTGATGCAAAACCACTGGAGTGTCAATATGAAAAATCTACAGTGATCTGGGACAGGAGCAGCTTCAAAGTGCATTTCCATGAAGAGCTGTCAGCCAGATGCCAAGTGCCCAGCTCAGGACTGAAGCAAAGGGCAAAGATGACCACATTCACACAGCACAGGTGACCCATCACATCCACAGAGGCTCACGAGCAGAGTGACAGTGTCCAAGTGCAAGAAGCCTTCTGGCCTTGTCCAGCAGAAGTCAGTGCTAGGTGGGCTGTAAGAACAGTGAACTTGGGAAGCTAAATTACCTGAAATGAGGATGCTAGGAAAGCTCCAAATATTCTTTACTTGTGGTGAAATAGAAAGTTTCAGTTACTATTTTTCATATGGGTTCTCCTACTTCTAGTAACATTTCTTGAGTTTACTGAGCAACAGCTGCTCTTCAGAGTGATCTGGGGTTCTGGATATTCTGTTCAAGAATGGGGATAACATTAGATGGTGTGAGATTTTATTGGAGAAGGCATTTTTATTTAAATGCCTTCTTGGATGAGGGCCATATATACTTGGTGCTTTGCAAATTGAGTTTGCAATGGATCAACAAGAAACCAATGTCTATGTCAATATTAATAAATTAAACAGTGCTAGGGAATTTTTCTAGACACTGGAAAGTGATCTTCTGCACTATTAAATTGTTAGAATGATCTCTAGTGTAAATTTGGTCTTGGCCAAGCAGCATTTTCTCAGCAATCTCTGGGCACATTTCAGGAACTAGCTTGATCCAGGGGCCATTTCCATGAGGCTGTTTGCATGCAGCTGTACTATTTTAAAGGCTGGGAGAGCTTAATGTGAGCTGTTTTATGCTAGTTAACCTCCACGCCAGAGGAAGGTCCTTGGCATGTTTAATTTAACAGCATAGCTGTGGACTGCAATTTGTGTTTATTTGTCCTGGTTTTATGTGGAATGTAAAAAGGTTAAAAGGGGCAGGATCATCTAACCACCTACTATGAAGTCCTCTCCGAGGGCGTCTCAGAAGAAGGCAAAATAGCTGCTTAACAGTTTATTCTGTGGCCCTTGTTGGCGCAGGTACTGTCTCCGTACTTGGCCCAAGCAGACAGATGCAGAGAGCAGGTAGAGGCACTAGCTGGACCAGATGCTGAGAGGATTTTCTGTGTGGTTCCCCACTGTGTCAATGGCAAGAAAAGGCTGAAGCTGCTGCTCTCACACAAGCCTAAGTGTGTTCTAGCCTAACCCCCCCTCTCCGGGAGCACAGATAAGAGTGTGGATCTCATGTCTCCAGTCCTCATGATTCATTCACGTAAAATCCATTTATTCAGGCTTTTATACTGCGTCCAACTGGAACAAATTGCAAATCCTTGCTTTGCTGCGTGACTCAGAGGGATGAAATGAAGGGTGTGAAGCTTGTTCACATAGCAATGCCACTAAAATTAGAAAGGCCACAGTGGTTCTTTGTGACTGGGAGACACATTTCTTTCCTGCCTGTAATTGGCTGGAAATCTTTACATGAGGCTGCTTGTGACTGTAACAGCCTTCTTGTGCAGAAGATTCTCCTTGGCAGCAGAACTTACCTCCTGCTCTCATGGCAAAGCTCTGCACAGGAAGCTGCCAGCCAACCTGCCAGTGATGCCAATACAAAAGCAGTGTTTGTACTCATGTAATTTTGAAAAATGGAGTTAGAAAGACAGGGAGAGAGCAAATAGTGATTATTTCATAGGGTAATCTGAAACAAGTAGTCTTTCAGCCTTTGGGAATCTCATGGGTTGGTCATCCTGGTATGTTAGCAGCCGTTCTTGTGCAACCAACCGTTAGTCATCACATGATTAAGGAGCCTACAAATCAAACTAATACCGAAATGTATTACTACTTTATTATGATTACCCTAAAATTGGCTAAAAACTTTGGTTACATTGTCTGTGAAATAATTTCTTATTAAGTCATCTTCCAGAGATCCTGTGAAGTCTTGTGTAAATAATTTTACGGTTTTTTTTAATGTTAGAGTACAACACATTTTTTCTTTGTACTTGTCTGAAATATTTTTTTGTTGTTCCTACGTCTTCAAAGCTGGTAGCCTTTTAAGAGCTTTTAAGAACTGGGAAGCCTGTTTTATCAGTCTTTTGCACCTTTCTGCATAGTTTATTGCTGCATGGAGGTCTGTTTTTCATATTTCCAAGGCATCATTTCTCATGTATAAATGTCAAGGTGAAATATGAATCCATGCAGCCAGGTGTAAGTTCTCTGCCTAGGCTATTCTTCCTAACTCTCCAAGGATCTCATTCCCTGTGTAACCTCACTATTTGTCAGCCGAGGGTGAAACAGTATGTCATAACTTTGTTCTAGTCCCATTTTAGCCTTCTCAGAGTTTAAGGATAAGAGAATGCTCTGCACTGGGGAAGCAGGGCTGTGGTAGGAGAGAGAAGGCTGGTGCAGGGCTCTCTCTCAATCTCAGTTAGAAAGACCTGACAACAGATGGCTGAATAAGGCAACTGCTTTAATAATACAGAATAGTAGAAGGAGTTTATAATATCCTGAATAACCAAAGGAGAGTTTTCTCTCAATGGACAGGATCTTCTCTGCACAGCATGCCATGGGAAAATCTATCCAGGCTCTGTCTGATGCTGGATGAATGTGGGGTGCCCAGCATCTGAAGGGATGTAAGATCTACTCACTATCTATGTTCCTCTTCTTATTATGGAACTTTTAAAAAGCGTTATCTTATTAAGCCATATGTTGCAGGGCCTTTCTTATTAAGAGCCAGAAAGAGCCCTGGTGTCTCTCTCTCTCTCTCCCACCTCACACTCCCTACTTATCCCCCAGTGTAAGACACAGTAATGCTACATCACCTACTCAGAACTCCTTTACTGTTTAAACTTTTCCTGATAGTCCAAGATTCACTAAAAAGTAACTGCAGTGGTTCTGAAATCTGCTTTGCTGAGTCTTAACAAGTCTCACTGATTTAACAGTGTTTATCTCTAGGAGATACTGTTTAATGTGCTCTTTGATAAATGGTGGAGCAAAAATATTTCAGTTTTCTTACATGATGAAAATTTTATGAGCAGCCTATTCTCTGGCTTATCTCCATTATAAAATATTTGTTTATTTCCAGAATCTGTCAACAAACACAGTGGCTACATTAAACTATTTTTTTGCTGACAGTGCTGTTCTCTTGATGTGTAACTAGTAAAGCAGTACTACTTTGTTGATTAGTACATTTATGCTTCTCTAATTCCCTGCTCACAGACCTATCTTTTGAAATCCAGCAGACTTCATGCTGCATTTTCATCATGACCAGATCTCAAAATATGTTCTTGCCTCCTCTCTTTTTTTTTCCTATGCAAAGTATGAAGAATTTGCTGATTTTAGCATATTTTCATAAGAATTAAATCTATGTTTTCAGTCAAGATCTAATGTAAAAACCCAACCCATGGTTATACTGTTTACTAAGAGTCATCCCAGTGATTCTTTGTGCTATTACTCTTCGGATGTGATGTAATGTGAGTGTCAAGTTTCATTTTTGCAATAGAAGAGTTCTTACAGAATCTTGATTTCCATCTTCGTAACTCTTACAGCAGGAAAAAACCCCAGAAATAAGATACATGATATTTAAACAAGTGTTTTAAATATTCAGGGTAAATGGAAGCAATATTTTTCTGCAAGTGTGAATTTTATAAGAACTTTGTCAGTCTCTAATCCTTTGCAGATATATATTTGGAAAAACATTCTGAATTTGCATAATACTTTTTTTCCCTCCTGTTAGGAGTATTAAGTTAAGAGGCCACATTTAAATGACTGGCAACTCATCATTCCAATTTATATAGAAATGTGAGAAAAGTCTCTAGAGTTTTATTTGCTAGAGGAGCAAAAAATGCATTTGTTGTTTTTATTGTAGAAGTAATTGATGGGAAAAGAGCGGAGAAGGATAGTTTCTGTTATCATTGTTACTATTTTATGTTCTATGAGGACAATCTTAATTTTCTTTTGTGCTGAGAATATATTACAGAAAACATTTTATGGGTTGCCTTATGAATCTAGTATACAGCTGTTTCAAGTGTATTGTGATCTAAAATATTTGATCATTGTGTCATCAATAGAACATTCTGAAAATATTAAAATATTTTAAGATTGCATTGCATAACTTTAATGTTATGCTTGTGTTCCAGTTTTAAGTTGAAAAGTAAAAAAGGAAAAAAGCTTGCTGTCATCTTAAACATGTATTATTTTTAAAAGTGCCAAATAGAGTACAATATTTGCCATTAAATGAATGTCATTTGCTTTTGTCAAATAATAGGTATTAATGACACTTTACTTTTAAATGTTTGTAGGCAAATTTAGCATTGCAAGAGGGGAGACTTGCAGCTGCCCAAACAGAACTGAATAATGCACAAATTCAGCTGGATGAGAAGCAAATGGAATTGGATAAAGTACAAGCCATGTATGATACTGCTATGAAGGAGAAGCAGGCCTTACTTGATGATGCTGAGGCATGCAGAAGGAAGATGAACAACGCCACAGCTCTGATTGAAGGATTAGGTGGAGAAAAGGTACTAGCATATATGAGTAGGTTTCCAGCACAAAGTAGGTGATCAATTTTGAGGAGACCCCACCTGGAGTACTGTGTCCACCTCTCGCCCCACAACATAGGAAGGACATGGACCTGTTGGAGTAAGTCCAGAGGAGGGCCACAAAGATGATCAGAGAGCTGGAGCACCTCTTCTATGAAGTCGGGCTGAGAGAGTTAGGGTTGTTCAGCCTGGAGAAGAGAAGGCTCTGGGGAGACCTTGTAGCAGCCTTACCTGAAGGGTGTCTACAAGAAAGCTGGAGAGAGACATTTTACAAGGGCAGGTAGTGATAGGATGAGGGGTAATGGTTTCAAACGAAAAGGGTAGATTTAGACTAGATATTGGGAAGAAATTTTTAACTGTGAGGGTGGTGAGACACTGGCACAGGTTGCCCAGACAAGTTGTGGATACCCTCTCCCTGGAGGTGTTCAAGGCCAGGTTGGACAGGGCTTTGAGCAGCCTGATCTGGTGGGAGGTGTCCCTGCCCTGGGACTGGATCATCTTTAAGGTCCCTTCCAACCCAAACCATTCTGTGATTCTATGATCATTTCTAGTGCTCAAGAAATTCAAGGCATGGTGACATCTCAATATCATATGACACTTTAGTTATAGGTATGTTTTTTGCCTGAATCTAATGTATCTAACAAAGTAAAACAATTTCTTGTGTTAACTTAATTCATCTGTATGAAGATTTATGTCATATCATACAGCTCGTATTGGGATAAATTTCAGATTTAAAGCTAAGGAGCCAAATTCCTTTTAGCTTTAGTAAGAAGAGGAATTAGGCTTAACCTAAATAATTGCCCTAAAATATTTATAAGAAGGATTACTCTCTTTTTCTCACCAAATGTACAAGAATAGGAATTTGAAGCTTGACTAATTTCCTGAATTATATTTAAAGTTAAGATTTCTACTGAATTATTTTACAGAATTATGGGCTAATCGTTATCCTTTGCACTGAGTTTAAAGTTTACCTTTCTTATGCAGACTTTTCTGGCTTCAGCATGAAGGTTTCCAGAGGAAGCAGGATATCCTTCTTTTCTCATCTGATTATTTTCTTTGATTATTCCTTGGTTGATATCACACAGCCACTGCATCCTGTGGGGCCAGGACTACAGCGTTTGTTTGTATAGCTTTACTTCAAAATATCAGTCTAAAATGTCAGATGCTTTACCATATTTTTCAGTGAATTTCTGAATTTAAGAGCAACACTGAAATAGGAAGTTACAGTGTCTTACTGTGGGTTTTCTGAAGCCTTGTGTTATGAGGACGTGTAAGAGCTGTTATTCCATTCTACTTTTGAAAATTCAGAAAAACTATATGTGGCACTTGGAGCCTTGGGCAAAACTGACACTGGGTTAAAAGTGTATTTTCAAAAATTTAAACATACAAGTCCTGAGCAAGATTGCATGCAGAGTGACTGGAAAGGAACAGAAATCTGGAGAGAAAGGAATAAGTAAAACGCAAAAATAATATTCAGCAAACCACAGAATCATGGAATAATTGAGATTGGAAGTGACCTCTGGAGATCTTCTAACCCAACATCCTCACTCAAAGCAAGGTGAAATAGAGCAGATTGCTCAGGGCATTGTCCAGTTGGATTTTTAATATCTCCATAGATGGAAACTCCATAATCTCTCTTGTCAACCTATTCTAGTCTTGACCACTTTTGAGTGTTTAATTGGAATTTCTTGTATTTCAATTTGTGTCCATTTCCTCTTGTCTTTTCACTTGGCACCACTGAGATGAGTCCGGCACTATCATCTTCACACCCTCCCATCAGGTATTCGTACACATTAAGAAAATTTCCCCTGAGCTGTCTGTTCTCAAGACTAAACAGTCTCAATTCTCTCAATCAAGACTGCCCCCAACTTTGACATCTCTGACTTCTTGTTCGCAAGTCTGAGGTTCAGCAAACTGCCTTCCATCATTAGATCCTTAGTTACCTGTGCTAAGAATTTTTTGCCAGTGCACTCCTTAAAATGACCTGGATTGCTTGTGTCTTGCTGTGTTGTCCCTCCAGAAGATACCAGAGTGGTTAAAGTCCCCCATGTAGACCAGTGCCTGTGAATGCAAGGTTTCTTCCCACTGTCTGGAAAAAAGCTCATCTATTTCTTCCTGATCATGTTGTCTGTGACAGACACACACACAGCATCACCTGTTTTGGTCTGCCCTCTAAATCCTAACCAATAAGCTCTCAAGTGGCTCACTGTCCATCCCAGAGTCTCACATGCAGAGGTCCATGCATTCCAGCTGCTCTCTCACATAGAGGAAAACTCTGCTCCTCACCTTCCCAGCCTGTGCTTTCTAACAAGCCTGTATACACCTGTTGCAGTCCTCTAGTTGTGGAAGCCTTCCCATCATATCTCCATGATCCCTATGAGTTCATGACTCTGCAACCGCATGCAGACCTCTTAATTCCTCATTTGTTCTCTGTGCTGTGCACATTAGTGTACAAGCACTTCAGAGAGGTGCCCAGCTGTGCTAATTTCCCAGAAACAGTTTAAAAGCTATCCCCATCATTCTGTTTGGTAGGCACTTCTTTGTTTATGAGGTTATGCTTGGGGTGGTCCTCCATTAACCCGCTTTTATTGATTACAAGATCCCTACTGTTTATATCACCCCACATATTTTGCTTGCTAACCTGGTCCTCCACTTCCTCACATAATTGTGGTAATCCTCTCCCTCTCACTTTGTTCCTCTTTTAAAGCACTTCTTTCCAGTTTGGCCAGCTTGTTGGCAAAGATGATTTTTCTCTGCTTGGTCAGGTGGTTGCCATGTCTTCCAATCAGATTTCTGCTTCTGAAAAGAATGATTTAAAGCCAGAAATACTCCTGGTTCAAAGGACAATTATTTACCAGCAAGAGAGAAATTCTTAAGTTAGATCTTCATGTTAGTTTTGTGCCTGCTTAATCTAACTTCTTTGTTATATTTTACATACAGATTCGTTGGACGGCAAGCAGCAAGAACTTTCAAAATCAAATTATTAATTTAGTGGGAAATGTTCTTCTCGCCACTGGATTTCTCTCTTACTCTGGACCTTTCAATCAGGAGTACAGGAATTTGCTGCTTCAATTGTGGAAGAAAGAAATGGACAACAATAAGATTCCATACAGTAATGTAAGTGATGATAATCTTAATATTAGTAGATTAGTATCCCTACTGCATCTTCTTTTCGGGTTCTTGGAGGATTTGACACTTAAAACTGATATTAGGTAGACTACTTTGCCATGAGAGGTTTGTCATGCTGTTCCTCTCATAGAAGTTACCTGAGAATCTTTTTTTGTTTTTAATGTTAGGTGGTGCATAATGCTTCTAGTAACGGTGATTAACCTTGAGCTGACAGAGTGAACCTCACAGCCCAGCCCAGTTTATGCTATGACTTACAAAGATGAATGATTCTGACTTGTCCAGTAAAACTCTTTGAAAGCTCCTGGTGATAAGCAATAAGTAAGGCCAAGGTAGATTTATTAATAACGTACCAGTAGCAGTGCAGTCGCAGGCAAGATTCTTTACCAGTGTGGTATGGGAGTTATCCTACATACATTCATCCCAGGGAGGCTCTTTTTCCAATTCAGCATACAAAATGTTCTTAAAAGCTACTTACCTTGGGGAATAACTGTCAAGATCCTTACCATTTAAGGATAAGAACTTGGATGTATAATGTCCTTAGAAAGCAAGACATAAAGAATTAAAATTTTTCCTCTATGAAGACGTTATGACCACAGTGCTACTCAGCTGCATTCTTAAAAATTTGAGGAATACTTTTCAGTTGTTTTTGTGTTGCTTTTTTTCTTTATGGACAGGTTATACACTGAATGCCATAATTAATGAGTTTCAAACAATAATTACCATTCTGTTTAGATGGATGCCGTTAAAGACAGGATTATAATTTCAGTGATAGTGCACGGAAGAGAGTTTTAATTCTTTTCCAGTGAATTAAGTACTCACAAAAGGCAGCATATGGACTCCTCTTGATGCTTCACACCACAGGGAAGAAAGCAGTTTTGCAGTTCAAGCAAAAGGCTTGACATCTGCCTTACTTTGTCACAGACTAACTGGCTGTGGGTGTATGAGTCATTTAGGCATTTAGGCATAACAATTTAAAGGGAGCTGTTTAAAATTAGCTATCTATCAGTGTAGTTAGGCACTTAAATTAGCTAAATTTCAGAGTTGCATAGTGACTGATACTTCCCGCTGCAGTAAGAAAAAAATCAAAGCTATTTAGACCCTACTCATCTGTTTAAGGAGCTAAATATAGTTTCAGTTGCTGAAGATTTTGGCTATTAAACGCTTTACTGTGCTTTTCACCAATGGAAATTGGGTTCTTAAAGGTTCTCTGTTTTCTGAGAATTATTTGTGTTGTTTCATTCAGATGTTTCAATAAACAGAGTGGTAAAAAAATCAAAGGGATAAAAAATCTTTTGAGTCTTGCAACCACTGGTATCAGTAACTTTCAATATTCTATCACAAGTCTCACAGTATATGAAATTTTGCTTTAGGCTTCAGATGCTGAATTATGTGATTTTTGCAAGAGTTGCAGACTTTTTAAGCATGTTGTAGAGAAATCTTACAAATAGGAATTATTGAGTGAAAAATGTAAGGAGCAAATGAAAAAAAGCCTTCAGTTTTATTCTTTTTAAACTCACATCACTATTAAACTATTTTTCTAATTTGTAGAGCTTGGTTTGTGATTTTAAGCATTGTTTTCTTCACATATACATTCTTGAGAGTCCAATCACTGTTCATTGTGAATAAAATAAACCAGGTTAGTTGGCGTGTGCAAATCAAACTTTAGGAGAATATATGAGCTGAGAAGAGTTCTGACTGTAGTAACAATAACTTTCCATGATAGTTCGTGGTTATTGACCCTTAGCACATCTCTTTCTTCTCTGAGTCTCCCACAAGCCATCCTGTAGTCATATACGTGCGTGTTTCTCTGAGACTCTTTGATGGATGTCAAAGCCTCAACAAAGAATTAGCTTTCATCATTGCCCAACTTCAGTGATTTAGGCACTGAATTTTAAAGAAAGGAAGCAATAAAGAATGACTACCAGATACATTCTCTTGTGCATTATGATCAGAATAAGAAGGGAAAACCTTCCGTTGAACACTTCAGTATAACTCATCTAAGTGGTCCTAATGTTGTAATTACATATTTTCTATTAGGACCTGAACCTCACTGATATGCTTGTTGACAATGCTACAGTGGGTGAATGGAACCTCCATGGTCTTCCAAATGATGACCTTTCAATTCAGAATGGCATAATCGTCACAAAAGCATCTAGATACCCTTTGCTGATTGATCCACAAGGTCAGGGAAAGATCTGGATTAAAAATAAGGAAAAGAATAATGGACTCCAGGTAAATAGTACATTTAATATTTTTTATGTGTGTGTTATTTCACCTTATAGTTCAATGCAAACTATTTTTTCTGTCATCATACTTAGGCCATGTGTGACTTAAATCTGATGTTTATGGTATACAGTCAGGCAGAAATTAAAACAAGACTGACACAAAATCTGTGACCTATGTGTATCAGAGTGAAATAGCTTATACTGCTTTGTCATCTCCCAGAAAGACAGTTTCAAGAGCAAATTGGAATTGTATGTTATGCCATATGTATTTTCATGATGACTCTTTTAATTACTTGTCATAGAGAAAGAGAAATGTAGAGGAAAGTAAATGACTTGCAAAATTAAGACCAGATAGGATCAGGCAGCTGGTGCAGCATGGCAATAATGTTTTACAGTAAGCATTTTAAGAAGCAAATAGGAAAAAGAAAAAGGGAGGAACTGGAAAAAGGATGGTGGCTTGAGGTAATGTGAAATCTAGTGATTCTTGAGGCATATAAAATACAAACCCCAAACTTAGGCTGCATCTTAATGATTAAATGCATGTGATAAAAATATTTATTGCTTAATTTATCCACTCTTCTCACTTTCTATCTAGCAGTACAACCTGTTTGGGATCTGGGTCTTCTATTTAATTCAGAACTTCTTTCCCCCACTTCTAATCAGCCTATCCTCCATGCTTTGTAACACCAATAAAGATGAGTTATGATAAAGATCTAAACACATGTTATATTTTCAGGCCAGATTGAGCATGATACTAAACAGTTAGCTGTTAATAAATCAAGTCTATCCCACAACTGTAGATTATCACATGAATACCATGGTATACTATCTTCACTCAAAACAGGAGTGATGGATAAGAAAAACAAACTGAGAATGAAGGTAAGGATGGTGGCATCCAGAGAGCCGATGACATCATGGTGATGTCATTAAATCCCTAACCTTCTGGACCTTGACCTAGATCTGTATTTCACAGAATCATAAACTGTTAAGAAAGGCCCAACATTCAATCCCACACCAAATCCAGTTTCTGGTAGATTGAATGTGCTCAAAAATGGTGTAGAAATCAGAGTATCAACTGAGAAGAGACAGAAAAATAATGTACAACATTCAAAAATCTTGGCAAAATGGATGCCTTTATAAAAAATATGATGAAAAGCTCTCCTAAAACATGAGTTCCCTCCCTTAAGTTGCACTGAGTCTGTATTGCCCGCCCTCCACCTGGCTGCTCTCACCACGTGGAAGGGGGCTGTGGACACACAGATTCTATTCCCTGGTCCAGTAAATGCATAAGGATGTTATATCACATACTCACCAAAGCAAGGACTGAGAGAAGTAAACTAATATACCATTTCCTCTTTCCCCACTATTCATATACTATAAGTGATTATGATATTTTCACTCATGAGCCAGAGAAATCTGTCTACCAGACTTGCCTTGTGGCCAGTACGTGTGAGTATCCAGCCTATGAAATTTGTAAAGCCTGACAGGGCTAAACTACTGAGCTGCTGGGTACTTTCAAAACTTACATGGCTTTGAATGCACACAGATGCAGCCTCTAAATGCAGAGGAAACTTTTCTGATGAAAATTCAGTCCATTATGGGTATTTAGACATCCTGACTCAGATGTCAGCTGTGTTAGAAGAATCTGAGTTCTCCACCCACAAAGTCCAGGAGGAACAGTGTTATGACAAGACCCTAAATACCCAAGTGTTTAGATTATGCCTTTACATCTGGGACATTGTGATTTGCTATGGTCTTGTCAGGATTATGTTGTTGGTCAGTAAAACACTAACTTCATCCCTCAGTTTCATGCGAACTGAAAATGTAGGCAATGTGCTTTTTTTGCAGATCCACATGTGCTTACATTGTAACAAAGCTAAAAGCAGCGTGGCAGAACATAGTATTAATTTTTAAATAATATACTGTTTTAAGACTGTGTAATGTGCCTCTAGATATTTTAATTATGCCTTTTTCAAAGAGCACTGACTGCAAGACAAGGATTTATTGTAAAAACATGTCTATCCTAGGGTTTTTTTCTTGTGAAAAAAACACCCCAAACCCATGGCTTAACAGATGCCTGGAAAGGCTATTCAGTTATAATCTGAAAGGCTTATGTTAAATTTATTAAATTTAAATAAATTAAAAGGAGTCTATGTGATTTTTAGCAGTTTTAAGACTTTATATTTTGAAATGGGAATTGAATTGGAAATTAGACATCTGATGTGAGACCAGGCCTCCTATGTAACACTGTTTCCCTGTCTGAACCGTAGAAGTATTTCCCTACTTCACATTAGTGATCTAAGCATAAAGTCATTAATATTGAAAAGGTATTAAGACACTACAGTGATTAGACAGATATGTAGGTAAGTAAATAAATAGATAACAATAAAGAAGTATGATCTCCTATTCTGTTAAGCTTAAAGCAAAACTTCCTTTCATTTCAGCAGAGGTGTTTGTCCCTGAAATATAATCACTTATGTAGCTATCCCAGGATGAGTATAATTTTTGAAAGTTCTGATAGATTTCATCCTGTTTTCTATGTGCTTGCAAACACATGCTATGCTGTGAACCACTCTTCCTAGGTTACAACTATGAACCACAAGTTCTTCAGAAGTCATGTAGAAGACTGCCTGTCCCTTGGCCGACCTCTGTTAATTGAAGATGTTGGAGAGGAACTTGATCCTGCTTTAGATAACATCTTGGAAAAAAATTTCATAAGATCTGGTTCAGCACACAAAGTAAGATGAATTGTGAACATGAAAATAAAAACCAACAGGACAGATGCTGGGTATCTGGTAGTCTGGATACTGTCAAGATTCACACCTTTGCAACACTTAGGAACATGAGTAGTGATCTCCTGGAGTTGGATTTTTTTTAGTCCTTAAGTAGAAATTTTAAAAAGTGTAAATGAAAATGTAAAAAAAAGAGTTAATCTATTTTTCACTGTATACAATAACTGTTCTTCTGAATTCAGCTTTTGAAATTTGAGTAATATGTTTTATTTTCAGGTGAAAGTGGGTGACAAGGAGGTAGATCTGATGAAGGGGTTTACCCTTTATATTACAACAAAATTGGCTAATCCTGCTTATACTCCAGAAATTAACGCAAGAACAACTGTGATTGACTTTACTGTTACTATGAAAGGGCTGGAAGATCAGCTGCTTGGCCGAGTCATCCTCACAGAAAAACAGGTACCTAGTAGCTTGCAGTATTTGTGTAGAGGGAAGGCTTGTTCAATATCTGCACCAGGAGTGGATTTATTCAATGTCTTGGTTGAAATCATATGCAAAAATGAAAATCTGAATGAAAGTTTAGGGGTTTGTGCATTTGCTGAAAGACAGTGTAAACCTGGTTTTTAATTGAATGGAGGGACCTAAGCATTTATGTTAAGATCTGGCCTTGGAAAGAGAAGAAAGAAAATTGTTCATTAAAAATACATCACAGGCATATACATGACATACATAAAGCATCTTTATTCCTTCATATATAGCAAAGGCTCCTTGTTCAGTCAGAAACCTCTTTTATTTCTGAATTCCTTTTTAAACTTAATTTGAATTACATGAAAAAATGCTTATGAACTTGAACTACTTTTCACCAGTTGGGCTCTAATGTGCAAGGAGACTTTTAAGGAGCCCTGAATGCTGACTTGACTTTGCTTTTACTAAAATTTCCATTGATTATGTGGAAACAAATGAGGAAGAAAATCCCCTTTTAGGTGTTTTTTCAGTAGTTTAATACTATAAAAACTGAGATATCATCCACAATAATTTAATTCCTAGATCATTCCTATTTCTTTTTGTGTGACCTAATTTAACAGCCTGGTTACCCAAAAACTGAGGAGTTAATTCATCATAGGCACTGAGGACAAAGGTGGGTTTTTTACTGTGACAGTCATACCAGTAAATACATGAATATTATGGTCCAATTACACTAAAATGAAATATTTTCTTCCTTTCACATTAAATGAAAGCACAGAAGTTGTATTTCACATCAAATCGAATTACTTATTTCAAACGGAACGTTTCATAATTGTGTCTGTATGACAAAAGTAACAAAAATTCAAGTTTGGATTAGCAGAGCTGCTGCTTTCAGTAAGTGACTCGGGTAGGCTTGCTCATATGAGAACAGTTCCCCAACTAAGTGAATTAATTCCTCCTTCAATTCCCCAAAGGATGATTTACCCTATTGTGACTGGGTAACTTACCTCTGATTGGAGACCGAGGTTTAAATCAAGATAGAATTGAAATGGTTTCTGATGACCCACATATAAAACTCATCTCCTCACACTCAGATAACCTCGCTCTGTCTTTTTTTTCCTGGACAAAACTGTTAGAGAATTCATGTATGTAGCAACACCTAGACTGCATTTTGGGTCAAAATTGTAGTCACTGAAAAATATGCATCCAGTGCTGTGTATCAGCTGAAGAGAGCTGCAAGGGTAACTGGTTAGTAGCACCACTACTTGCTGCACAGGAACATAGTGATCAACATTTATTAAACTTCTTTAACAGATATGAAGAAATCATGGTTGTTTGGTCTCCTCTGTCTCAACAAGAGATCAATGTCCTGGTGTATATGTCAATGCCAATGGAGGTCTGATAAATTTAATTCAAAGAGAAGACAAAGCATGAACAGAGAATCTGAAAAATAGGTTTTCTATTACAGAAAAGAAGACAAGTTTATGATACTGAGCTAAAGTAACAGATTAAAGGAACCAAGACATTTTTAAAGATTGCCATAGTAGTGATCAATGAGATATGTGATCAAAGAAGTGTTTATTCTTCTCAGCTTTAAAGGTTGTTCCTGTAACTGTATTTTAAAAAAAAAATCAGCATCTTTTTGTACTTTGATAATGAAATTGCTGCCACTATTTGTCTTCAGAATGGCTATTTTTTATGTTACAAATGTGCTTGTGAAATAATCTTGCAACCAAAAGCCTAGCATCTGGTATATTTGCTATTTTTCTGAAAGGTACTCTTCACAGGCTTACAAACAGAATGGGTGAGGTGCCTATTCTTAAACTCAGAGTCCCCTTAAGTAGAATATACTACTAAGTATGATATAATATACTACTAAGAATATGCTACTAAGTAGCATATACTTAAATGCATGTGTATTTGAGTGTTCTGTAGAACTACTCATTTTGTGTCATTCTGTTTTTTCTGTGTGTGTGTTAGTGGTAAAGAAAATGCAGAAAATGTGAAGCCGAATGACTGATGCTTAAGTCTTTCTCCTTTTTTGGGATGCAGTTATTTGTAACTTCCACAGAGCTACATTCTATAGCCCTAGAATATATTACAAACAGGTTTCCAAATAAGTTTGTGAGAGTAAAGGAATTTGTCACTTCTTTGAAATACAGGAGAGCCTTTCCTGCACTGCATAACTCTGTACATCTCTTTTTTCCTCTAACTTGGCATGTTGACAAGAATGAAAATAATCTGAAATAAAGCCATAGGTGTAGGTAGACTGGTACTGTTAACTACCCTTTTCTTACAGGAAGGTTGACTTGATAGATTAAATAAAGGTAGCCAGCAAGAGTATCCCTGAGCTGTGTTGGACTGTGCAGTACAGATGTCTCATTTCACTTGGCATTGCATTGACTTGTCTGTCATTGTTCCTGTGCCATTGTCTGTCTTCTAGAAATAGCATAGAAATGCCATATGACAGAGGTAATAATTGTAACATTTCCTATTTTATAAGCAGTAGAGGCGTGTATCTTGCAAAGTCACAGGATCATAGAAATTAGAAATGGAAAATGTCATCTAGTCAACTTCCCTAGCAATGTAAAATCCATCCATACAGTGCATCTTTCAGTCCTTTTCTGATTTAATTTTAAGTACTTGATGTAATGTGGCTATTATCACTTCCATTGGAAACTAGCTTTAGTGTTTTGTGCATTTTACCATAAGGAAGCTTTTTCTGGTAATTCTGATGTGTTTTCATTCCTTAGTATGTGGCATTCATCAAATAAATGCAGTATACATACAAATTACTTTACTATATAATATTTCTGTATTTTATAGAAAAAGCAGCAAAGCCTCCAATCTATCATGCATGATATCACATGTTTTCTGTGTCGTTATAAGGCATCTTTCTTTGAATTAATTCTAAGGAAAATTTCTGAATGCAGGAACTGGAGGCAGAAAGAGTCAAACTGATGGAAGAAGTGACATCTAACAAGAAGAAAATGCAGGAGCTTGAAGATAATCTACTCTTCTGCCTAACCACTACAGAGGGCTCTTTGGTTGAAGATGAGTCTCTGATAGAAGTCCTAAGAATCACTAAAACAACAGCAGAAGAGGTGAGTTTTGAGTACATTGCAAATACATTTTGAAACTGTAATTCAAAGATTCTTTGTAAACAGTTTTTTTCTGATTTTGCTTTTTCCATTCAAGCCACAATACAACATCTGACTTCTTAACAAATGAATAGTAGAAAAAGTTGCAAAATTAAAATATTACCTAGATAGCATTTATATTCCAGGCGTACTTTGCAGATCTAAGTTTGAATCAAATCCCATTGTGCTTAGTATTTGAACACATGAAAACACGTCTGTGTTGAAGCACTGACAGAAGGAAGCAAAACTTGACTAAAAATACCATTATGATCTTAATCAAGGCCTTTTATTTTTGCTTGTGCAGTATAAATCACAAGTGACGTGACTTAATCTTCGTGGTCTTTTCCATTAATTTTAAGGTCAGTGAAAAATTAAACATAGCAGCGGAGACAGAGGTGAAAATCAATACTGCACGTGAAGAATATCGGCCTGTTGCTGGACGTGGTAGCATCCTTTATTTCCTAATTGTGGAAATGAGCTTGGTTAATGTTATGTACCAAACGTCTTTGCGGCAGTTCCTTGGCATTTTTGACCTATCAGTGGAAAGATCTCAGAAATCTCAGATCACAGCAAAAAGGGTAGTATATGTAATCGAGCATCTCACCTATGAAGTCTTCAAGTACACTGTTCGAGGGCTGTATGAAAATCACAGATTCCTGTTTACATTGCTTCTGGCACTGAAGATTGACTTGCAGGCCAAGAAAATTTCACACGCTGAGTTTGAGACACTGATCAAAGGTAATTTCTCTAGAAATGTTCTTTACATATGTCCATGAACTGCCAAATTCAGATTTTGCAGTGCTTACACTAACAATATAGTGTAACCAGTAGATCTATTGTTTTTTAAGTGGTGAATGAAAGCATATATAGCCCAAGAAGGAATTAGACAAATTTTCCAAAACAAGGGCAATACAGACAATTTATTATGAAAATAATGTCTAGATGAGGATATTTTACTGTGTTACATTGCAAAACAGAAAAAAAAGTCAAATTCTTTGTAAGAGACCCTATAGTTTTCTCCTGCATGCCTCTTTTTTGAGTTGCCACATACCTATGTCTCTGAGCTTGGAGACAGGAGAATCTTTTTTGGTGGCTGCTAAGGAGGCATGTGAATGCATGTACCACATTTAAGTGTCACAATGACAAAGAAAAATTTTAGTAAAGTTTATAAAATTTTATTAGGGTAGACCCCACTGTTTCCAAAATATAAGTGCAATCAGGTACTGAGGCAAGTACAGTCAGGTACTTTCCATCTAAATATCTGTTTGCTTTGCTGACACTGATTTAATGTTCAGCTGTGACTCATCTGTGTAGGAGGTACAAATGGGCATGACACTGGAGTGATGGCTGAGCTAAGGAGCTGTTGAAGTTGCACAGTCCTGGAAATGAATGCACCATGTGCTTTCTTATTCTGTAGGTGAAGGGACATTGGACTAATCATAGCTCCTTTCTACATCTGGTCTGAAGACTTCAGTTTTAGTATCCTTTTAGGTAGGCAAGTTTTATTCCAGTTCTACAGATGGAGAGAAAGCAGCACAAAAATTATTGGGATATCAGCTTTGGGAGGTATTGAGACCATTTCCCTAGTAGGCCTTTGTTAAATGACTCTTCCACGCAAATTCTAGGTTTATGAAGACTTTCACTCCCTAAAATTTGAAATAAATATTTGTATTACTTTTCATTTTTCTGTTAAACAATGGTTGTTTTTTTCTATAATGCTTTTCACTTTGCAGGAGGTGCCAGTTTGGATCTGAATTCCGTGGAACCAAAACCAAAAAGATGGATCCTTGACATGACATGGCTCAATCTTGTGCAGTTATCTAGCTTGTACCCTTTTAATCAACTTCTGATGCAAGTTGTTAGGAATGAGAAGTCTTGGAAAGCTTGGTTTGATGAAGAAGCACCTGAAAAAGCTGTTATTCCTGATGGGTATGGCAGCTTACTGGATCAATTCCGTAAACTGCTCCTTGTCCGGAGCTGGTGCCCTGATCATACTGTTGCCCAAGTAAGATATGCTTTCGTACAATGGTTATGCCATGTAGCATCTCCTGTAGAACTGCTAGTTCCAAACTTACGTTCTCTGAATTTGTTTTTATCATAATATTGCAGTGAGCTATTTTGAAAATCAGATCTTGGAATCCTTATAATAAATATATGTGAAAGAATTTTGTGTGGTGCTCCTAAAGTGAAGTAACGAAACTTAAAAGCAGTTGCATTCTTCCAGTGAATCAGAAGATGCATCTCTCTTTTTTAACAGAAGCGGAAAGGGAACAGTTCACTCTGATGACAGGGGCACTAGAATAGGAGATAAACCGTTTACTTACCCTCCATGCCGAGGAAGTAATAATTAGTCTGTCTCATAGCAAATATTGTAAATCAAAGAGCAATAGACTAGCCGTTTCTTCACAGTCTGTAATATTTGGATATTTCTTCTCTGTGTAGGTCTAAAAGAGATGTATGAGCCTATGAATATCCTCTTTTCACTTTTTTTGTCTTTAGCGACACTGGAAAGTAGTACTTCTGATTTCCAGAGTATCTTAACTTCACATGTTACATGTTGTGATAGGATCTGTGTTATGTTTAGGGGATGCCATTTTTTCATGGTCTTTTTCAACAAGACTCCCTCCATCCTCTTTCTTTTTCTTCCCTTCAGCTGGTAAATAAAAGAGAAGTATGGGAGCTGCATCTGCCACAATTTAAACAAACCAAGATAATAATGCTGCTACTGCCCATTTATCGACAATCTTATTGTCTTGCACAACCATCTTTGAGAAGGAAAGTCTCTGAACAGTGGTTTCAAAAGCTGTAATTATTTTAATTTTTGAGGAAAGAAAGGATCCTTTTTGTTATTATCTTCTTTATCCCTTTTTTCCCTACTGTGTTTCCACTGTTACAAAAATTTACCTCTTTTCGCTATGGCTGAAGATATACTTAATAGTGGGTGACTGAGTTATTTTTTTCTGGAATTGGTGTCTTTCTCAGTCCACCTTGTTCTGGGTGCTCCTCTCTGTAATACATGCCTCAGAATCTGTGCTAGTAGTTTACACAGTTGGAAAATCATGTCAGTCAAAAAAGTGTTTCATACACCAGGACAGCTTTAGAAATCCTTTTAAAAATGTCTGTGAAAAGAGGACAATAGAGAGATAGGGAAGGTTTGACCTTTAAGGATAAAGTCTGAGTTGTGTTTATGTTTTGTAGAAATAGATATTCAGAGTAAGAGACTTGAATTGGCTAACAACTGGACAGGAGAATTTGTTGAAGTTCCAACAAACATATGGAAGATCGTAAGTGGGTCAGATGAAAGATCTGTCTAATCTGCTGTGCTGTAAGAGACATTGTCAACAATACATGCTTAGAGGAGCTAAGAATGAGGCTGAAATAGAGAAACTCTTTTGTTTGGCTATCCACCAAGCGTTAGCAGTCAGTAAATTAGGGGAAATATCTGGGTTGTCCTCAGAGCTGACAGTGGATCTATGCTGCATGGATTTCTTTAGTTCTTTAAAAAAACCCCAACATTTAGCATCCTCTAGCAATGATGTTCACAGGATGGCTGTTGTGTAAAATTTTCTTTTTTTTGTTTGAAGTTTGCTATCTGAGAAATTCAATGGTTGCCTCCTGTGGACTATAATTTTTGTAACACCAGAGTTGAAAATGAAAGTTTAGAAAGTCATTGCCTTACAATGTAGGCATTGGTAAATCAGTGATTAAAGCTAAATAAATAATAACAAAAAAGGTCTATATTTCTGGTAACTTGTGATTTTTTTTTAGGCTCGACACTACATTGCAGAATCACTTGGAGGGAAATATGCGGAAGGATTTATTCTTGAAATGGAAGCAATGTGGACAGAAAGTGACTGTCGAACACCTTTGACATGCTTTTTATCAATGGGGTCTGACCCCACCGAAAATATAGAACGTCTTGCAAAATCAAAGGTATCCTCCTAAACTGAGTTTGCTAGAGCTGATAAAGACATTTAAAACTGTCCTTTGAACTAGAAATGGTATTTCCACATTTTATTGAAATTCAAATCTATATTCATACCAGTGTTATCTGAAAGTTAATTTTGTATCAGTACATGAAATACATTTGCTGAGGAAATTGAATTATGTTATTGTTTTTTCCAGTTGTTTGATTCCAATGAGCCCTCCATTTTATCCAGTTTGTCAAGAAGTTGTACTTAGTTCCTGTCTTTCTCTGGGCTTTCTATGTTGTTTTTCTTTCCAGAGTAAACCTTTGACTCAACATAGATTAGCTGCACCAAGGATCTGATCTTGGTGTATATGTGATTCTATACCTCCAAAGTATCTTGTTTATTGTTCTTTTTTCTTCTTCTTAATGATAGAAAACTTCAAAAAGACATATTGGTCCTATTTTTCAGTATTTTCAGCCTATTTCCCTTTTACAGGCATGATTTGTAGTCTCAAAATGGATTATCAGTACTGATGGTGCTTCTAAGTATTATATTAACAATATAAATCTATTATCGCCAGTTGTAAATATTCCAATTTGTGACCAGAATTTATTTTTCACTCTAAAATTTATTTGTTCCAATGGCCTTCTCCCACAGAAATGGAAACAGTCCGTGTGACTGCTAAGCTATATAACCTTATTTATAAAACCAAGCAAGCTCTGTCTTAAAACTAGTTGGATATCTGTCCCTTTTACTTTCACTTGAAGATAGAGTGAAAATTTAACTTTCTGAATTAAAATGAAGTTCATAATGCCTAGTACTTTGACTTAATTTAAAGTCATTCATTGACTTCAGATATTTTTATTATTGTAAGGATAGTTTCTTCTTTCAGGGAATGATGCACAGAACCTTCAACAGAACTGTCAGGGCCACTACAGTGACTGAAATAATATGTTCATCTGCATAGTTGTATATTAAGATGACACAGATATATTATTATGACTTACTATTGAGAGAAACAT